GGACGAGTCAACCGCGAGTGTGTCAAGTTCAAGCTGTCCGAAGCTGTGCGACTACAACCAGTTCAAGTATCTCATTTTCGTGAGCGGATTACATTCGAGCGGCGACGCCTTCATATGACTCGAGCTGTTAGACAAAATCGAAACCGACCCAAAGTGCACTGTTCAATCTTTCACAGAAGAGTGCAAGCGGCTCACACAACTCAAGCAAGACACCAATGGTCGAAGACGGATCACCAAAAGTGCAAGCGATCAAACATGGACCATCAGGACGAACAGAGCACCACCTTCGATTGGCCACACACTCTCAGGCAGTTTGCGACAGAACAGAGTACCACTCTCCTCCTTTCCCGAAGCCGCCTCCATCCCCGCATCCTTCATCAACCCCGAAGCCCCCTCCATCCCCATGCTGGCTATGCGGAGCGATGCATTTCGTTCGAAACTGCACTTATCGACGAGACAAATGCTCCGACTGCCGCAAGATCGGTCACAATGAAGGATATTGCGATGCGACCAGACGAAACCGCCCACTGCAATCCAGCCGATATTCATCGAAGCCTACCGTGCAGTCTCATGCTGTATTCACAGTGTCAAGCAGAGATGGCAACTACCGACGATATGCAACGATAATGGTGGATGGCAACCCAGTCAATTTTCAAGTGGACAAAGCCGCGGACATAATGGTCATCAGTGAGTGGACATGAAAGCTCATGGGCAAACCGAAACTACAGCCACAGTCTCTTATCGCTCACAGTGCCTCCGGAGATAGCATCCAGTTCCTTTGTCAACGCAGCTGCACATACAGCTTCAACTCGAGGACCGGTCTAGGAGTATACTATGTCGGCCGTACTCAGCCCAACTTACTCGGTGCAGAATGGATCTCTAAGATGGAGATCTACAGCCTCATGGACACTCTCCCATGAATCGATCCCGGGTTTTCAATCGCAATAAAGTCAGCAGCACCACTCCAAGCGACCAAATTGCAAGCGAATTTCAAGACGCCTATCCAGAAGTCTTCAGAAGCGACCTCGGGCTATAAAAGCCTTCAAAGGCCACTCTACGTCTCAAGATGGACGCGAAACCAGTCTTTCGTCCAAAAGGCCCGGTACCGTATGCCGCACTTCCAGCAGTGGACAAGGAAATCGAACGACTCAAAGCAAATGGAGTGATCTCGAAGATCCTCAAGTGATCTCGAAGATCCTCAGATACTCAGAATGGGCTACACCTCATAGTCATAATCAAGAAGACCAATGGATCTTTGCGGATCTGTGTTGGCTTCTCCACGGTCTGAACGATGCTTGCTCTAGACCTTCATCAACATCCACTGCCGCTAACCGAAGACACCTTCACGACACTCACTAGAGGACAATATTTCTCCCACTTCGATTTCTGATGCCTATCTTCAGATCGAATTGGACAAGAAGTCGAAGCAACGCTGACGATAAACACACGTCTTGGACTGTATCAGTACAACACACTTCCCTTTGACGTTAAACCGGCTCCAGCGATTTTCCAACAGATCATGGATACAACACTGGCAGGTCTGCAAGAAGTCGTAGCATATCAGAATGATGTTATTGTCATGGGACGCACACAAGAGGAGCACCAGAAGAATCTCCACGCCGTTTTCAAGAGACTTGCAGAAAGTGGATTCCACGTGCGCTCGGAAAAATGACACTTCGCGACCACTCTTATCAACCACCTCGGATACATCACCGATAAACACGGCCGACGCCCCGATCCGAAGAAGATAGATGCCATCTCGAAAATGCCAGTTCCAAAAGACATCGCCCAACTCCGATCGTTCCTCGGACTTCTGAGTTACTACGGCAGTTTCGTAGGAAAATGAGAAGCCTTCGTGAACCGCTAGACTCTCTCTTGGCGAAGAATTTCAAATTCATCTGGACCAAAGCTTGACGACATCTTCAATCGAGCGAAGGCGATACGCTTATCAGATCTTCTTCTCGCCCACTACGACCCAAGTAAGGAAATCATCGTGGCAGCCGATGCTTCAAATTGTGGCTTGGGCGCAGTCATTTCACGCCGTTACAAGGACGGATCAAAGAAAGGAGTTGCTCATGCTTCTCGCTCACTACTTTCAGCCGAGAAAAACTACAGTTAAGTTGAAAAGGAAGGACTTGTGCTCGTATTCGCTGTTCAGGAATTCCACAGGATGCTTCATGGACGACATTTCACTCTTCTGACGGGCCTGCCAACCGGCTGCAAAGATGGGCAACAACACTCGCGGCGTACGACTTCGGTATCCAGTACCGGTCAACCAGGAACTTTGGACAAGCGGATGCACTCTCACGACTCATCGCAAACCACTCCGCTCCTGAGGAAGATACCGTAATCGCCGCTATATCTGTGGATGACGACATCACACGCATTTGTCAACGCAGTGCGAGCACTATCAGTCTCCGTAGAAGACATCAAGGAATCGACAGCGAAGGACCGTATCCTCCAGCAAGTAACCAGCTACATCAAAGGATCTTGGCCTGCAAAAATATCGAATTCGGACTTGCAAGGCTTGTACAATCGTCGTGATGCACTCTCAACGCTCGAGATGTCTACTATTTGCCGATCGAGTGGTCGTTCCAGCTAAGCTACAATCGCGAGTACTGTGACATCTGCACAACGGACACCCTGGCATAGTAGCTCTAGTAAGGAGTTACGTCTACTGGCCAGGAATAGACAAAGACATTGAAGCTGCCGTACTCCGCTGCACGAGATGCTCTTCAGTCGCCAAACTTCCAGTCAAGACAAGCACCGTGGCCTCAACCAGACGCGCCGCGGACTCGCATCCACGTCGACTACGCCGGACCATTCGCAGGAACGCACTTCCTGGTAATCGTCGCTGCATTTTCAAAGTGGCCAGAAATCTTCAGCCAGCACTAATCGTACGACGACAGAAGCTACGATTTCTCTCCTGCAACAGACATCACTCTCAAGAAGTTCTGCCATGATCATGGAATACAACATCCTTTCTCGCCTCCATATCACCCACAATCCAACGGACAGGCAGAAAGATTTGTCGATACATTCAAGAGAACGCTGTCGAAGCTGAGAGGAGAAGGTACGCTAGACACCTGCAGACTTTCCTTCTGACGTATCAACCGACCCCGAACCCGGCACTGGATGGAATGAAGACGCCTGCTGCGAACCGTTCTCTCGCTGCTCAAGCCGACTCTACGACGATGGCCAACGCGTAACACACTAATGGAGCTACAGTTCAACAAGCAACATGGCGCCCGGAGACGTTCTTTCAGCAAGGGATCTCGTATACGCACGAACATACAGCGGGAACCAGTCGGAACGGCACACTTTAAAGGTGCTTCAACGAATAGGACGAGTACTTTACAAAGTCCTACTTGGACAAAATCTGTATCCGCCATGCCAATCAGCTAGGCCTACGGCATCACGATGTACCACCACAGCACAACGACAACGATGTGGACGTTGTTGAAGATGTTCAACCTGCAATCATCAATGTCGATGCCGACTACAAGCTCAGTACCGCCAAGCGACGACACGACAACAGCGACAAGCGAGGACCACACACGGCGATCGACACGGATGTGACGTCTTCCATCACGAATCCAGGTTCACCCATCAAGAAGACTTATGATGCTCATGATATCAGCTGATCACCTTAGTTTCCATGTTTGAAAAAAAGGGAGATGTTAGATGTTGGATTGACCTACTGACCCACCATGAAATTTACCTTTGATCGTTACCTACCGTATTAGGTACTACTTTTCGCCCCTAATTAATGATCTTAAGTGACTATATAAACCCACCATTTTCTGTTAGTTATGTGTTCTATTCCTAATAAATATTCTCTGCCTGCTAGAGTATGCCATCTACCTGCCATCTACCTCCAACGACTCAACATATAAATAAAATTATTGCTGCTAGGCGGGACTCTAATCCGCATCTAGTGAAATGAGATATTTTCTGTATAATGGGGTTATGCTAGGCTGCTGGAAGCACACCTTTTATTCCGCATAGAAACGTCGAACATCAGTTCTCCGTGGTAGATGAGAAAAAATGTGGAGAAATGTGGAGCAGATGAGACTCCCAGTAAATGCATGACAGTTCTGGCTGCCCACTCTTCTGCCCACTCGCTGTCGCTTTCATCTGAAAGTTTGACGCAGCAACTGTCACGCACTGGGCATAGAAGAAGAAACAGACGACGGCATGGAATGAGAACACAGATAATCGAGAGCAACACTGCTATATAGCGAAAAGCAAAAGAAAAAAGTATAAAGTGAAGACGGGGCGGGGAGTGCACACCTCGGCACAGCTGAATCATTCTTATCAAGCACTTCAGAATCGCAAAAGTAGGATATCTTTTGCGAATCCTGACCGTGCCACCTGTCTACAGATGAGCTCTCGCACGCCCGGTAATCGCAGACCTACTGAATAGCTTTACCGTTTTGTAAGTTTTCTAGATGTTCGAGGATGGACAGGTTCCCAACGTGCTAGCAAACGACAATATATGAGGAAGGTGAGGACTCGTCTGGGCCTGTGGAATTGGGGCTGTGGGGGGGGGGGAGGGGAGCTTTCCGAGCGGGTGTAAATTGGTATTCTGAGTTGCAGCAAACAAGGCGAAAATGGCTATGCTAGCAAGTGCTACGTGGCAGCACCTGGCCCTGGACCGAATCCACTCAACGAAGGAACGCTGTGAGGAGCACAATCTGTGTCTCTGCCTCTTACTTCATCTGTTAGGTTGGCAACTAAGTAACTGCGGTTTTTTTCATAGTATCAATGACAATTTTTTTTCATGGAAGGAAATAATTTTATTCTTAATGTATTGCCCATTTTTATCAAGGACCGTTTGCCATCTTTCAGGCAGCATCATAATCCCACGTTCATAAAACTTCTGGTATTTATTAGCAATCAGCTGCGATCTGACCTCATCATCACTATTGAAATTTTAACCATTCAAGGAGTTTTGTAAAGAGCTAAACAAAAAGCAGTCTGATGGTGCAAGGTGAGGACTATATGGTGATGTGGCAAAACATCCTAACCAAGCTCCAATAATTGTTGCCGAGTGGCCAAAGATGTGTCGGCCTTGTATTATCATGATGAAATACCACATCTTTCCGATTTGTCAATTCGGGCCGCTTTTCTTTGACAGCATTGTTTAACTTCGTTAGTTGTTCAATGTAGACATCAGAATTGATCCTTCGGTTGGGTGGTAAGAGTTCAAAGTAGACAATTCCTTTGTCCCACCAAATCCCACCAAACTGATAACAAAACCTATTGATGAACATCAAAAGCATGAGCTGAATTGCTCCACGACCTTTTCCACTTAATATTGTTGTAAACAGCCCATATTTCATCGCCAGTTATCAGTCGTTTTAAAAATGTATCATTTTCTTTACGTTTTTGAAGCAAATAGCAGTTGTTAACGCGTTGCGTTGAATGCGTTTCTTTCAATTCATGAGTAGCGTGCATCAAGTTTTTGAATATAGACAAACTGTTTTAAGTGATTTTCAATGCATGTATGTAATACATGGAGCTTTTCTGCGATCTCACGTGTTGTACTATGACGATCAGAATCGATTATTGCTTTGATAAGGTCGTCATCAACTCAACTAGACGGCCATAGCGTTTTTCATCTTTGAGTGGAAAATCACTAGAACGAAATATGGCAAACCAATTTTTATTTCCGCGAAGGGAAAAAAAAGCATCGCAAGCTCACAAAAAGTTGTGTGCTGTTTATGGTGACTGCCTTCTTTCAAGGCTTCGTCACCATAAACAGCACACAACTTTTTATGAGCTTGCGATGCGTTTTTCCCTTAGCGAAAATAAAAAAGTGAAATATGACGAAACTGTTCCTTATAGTGTTCCATTTTTCAACGAACGTCAAACAAAAAACTATGCTACAAATCAAAGTACTTTTCATACCGATTGATAGCTAAATTGCCAAGGGTCTAATAACAAAATAAGTTTTACGCTTGCTCTACGTCAGCAAACCTTAAAATTCAACTGAATTCATCTTTGAATGAAATCCGCAATTACTTAGTTGCCAACTTAATAGGTAGCGTACTCTCTAGCGCTCAGAGTCGGAATTAGGAAAAATACTACGGCTGTTTCATTGAAAGAGCGGGTCTTTTGTGCGTAGCGAGCACGTCGCTCTGAATTTCTTGGTCATTTTGTTTTTTTTTGCAGATTTGCCACACAAGATGTGAATTTGCATTTTCTACTGGAGTTCTCCATCCCAGCAGTTGCTCAGTCGCCAATGGCGTCAAAGTTCAATGAACAATACGTATTCCCCAACCGATCGTATATCAGTGTGGCAAAACAGTGAGCTTCCCAACTGCAATGTAATGCTTTGCTGGGAAGAAACTAACTTTCCGAGAACAGGCCCTTATCTCCTGCCCCTTGTCTCCCTAATTTTGCGGAACAACCAGGATAAGCATTATGTCGGCCTACCTATTTAAACCATAGTTGAGGGTTCCCAATAAAAACGGTCACATCTCACCGCTGGATGTAGGGCAGGGCCAACGGCGAGGTGGGGAGGGGGGGCAGAATCCGCATCCTTTAGGTTTGTGGACCTGCCAGTAGAGACTAAGGCAGCGTTCAAACTTCGCGATCGCGCCTCTAGTAGTAGTGAATAGTTGTAGAGCGAATGACTCTTTCATCCTCTCATACTTTATCACACTTTAAGAAAGGAGTATCGCATAGCAGAAACCTTCTACCGGATTCTGTAATCCTTTGCTGAAACTAATTTTTCCTGTTTAACTGTTTTTTTTCCAACAGTTCTTTGATATCCTTTTTGAACTTCCTCGCAAGGAAGCTTTCACCAAAGTCCGGTTGCTCCTTGCTTTCAACTTCTGTTACCTAAATCTTCTGCCATTCCTCCGATCATTCACCCCTTATAGTTTGTCTGATGGTCACGTCGTTTCGAGATCTATTTTCTAAAGGCAGTTTCCATGGAAATGACCATTAGTTCCAAGGTCCTGATCAGTTTTCGCGCCTGCGTCGTGTTTACGTAAATTGACGATTTATCTACCGTTTTCGGGCAACTTCATCACTTTATTTCTTTGTACTGCGCTGACAGCAGCGCTGCTTTGTGTTGACTGCCCCTCTCTCCCATTTCAGCGGTTAATTACGGCACCCCCCCCCCTCCCCCTCCAAATGAGGAATCATCAACGGTGATATGCCCTGACGCTGAGCAGTGGGAAGTGTTCATACAGCTGCTCGGCACCATCATCAAATTTATGGTTTTTCACTGTCAGTTCAATTCGAAGCAACAGTTCAATTCAGAGCAACAGAGAATTGCATGAAAAATACAATTCCAATTTCAACTAAATAAATATTACGGCCTAGGGTGGTGACGTCCGTTCCTCCAAGTGGTGCCACCGGGACCTGCTCGCTTTTGCGGGCTGAGCTGAACACGGACGAACTCGAAAGCAGGCGACAGGCCTTCGTGACGGGCCGGCTTACGAACACCCCATGTCACATCATCATGTTCAACTATGCCTTATGAATTACGAGATAATGCTACGGCGTCCGCGGGAGCCGACGCGCACTCGTATGGCCCGGCGAGTGTGGAAAGTATGCGAGGGTCCTCGTTGCAAGGACGGCATCGAGGGGCAACCAGGCTAGTTCGAAAGACGTGCAATGTGTTGAAGGCTCGTATTGCGACGCTGAATGTAGGGACGCTGACTGGACGCTCGTACGAGTTAGCAGAAGCCCTAGAGCGTAGAAAGATCGACCTCTGTGCCGTGCAAGAGACGAGATGGGTTGGCTGCAAGTCGAAAGGTTAGGCCGCGGCTTCAAAGCCGTTCTTTGTGGCGGGCCGAAAACTACAAGTGGTGTGGCCGTGATCGTGTCGCAGCGATTCGCGATAGGATTGTGAGCAGATCGTTTCGACGACCGTTTAATGAAGACGCTATTGAGCAACGACTTTACCACTTCTTCTCCGACATGCCCACAAACTGGATGCTCTGAGCAGTCCAAGGACGAATTCTGGCTTCTGCTGGACGAGAAGACGGCTGAAGTGCCACCAAAAAACGGTATTATTGTAGCCGGCGATCTAAATGGACACGTGAGCGCTGCAAAAGACGGCTACACTTGTCATGGCAGATTCGGTTACGATTCCCGAAACGCCGATGGTGAGCGAGTCCTATATGCAGAGTCGCATAACCTCGTCATTCTGAACACACGGTTTCGTAAACGTGGTTCTCATCTTGTCACGTTCTACAGCGGGAGTACCAAGACCCAGATAGACTTCGTACTCATCAGGCATGGCGACCAAGGACTCGTGACAGACGCAAAGGTAGTACCGTATGAAACGGTTGCCACGCAGCACCGCCCACTTATCTGTACGCTCAGACTTGTAGCTCCCAGATCGAGGCAGGCAGAACGATGCGGCCCTGAAAGAATAAAGTGGTGGCGACTCAAGGAGCGGCAGGCAGCTGTGATGATTTCTCGTATTCGACTACCTGAAGTCACAACTGTTCAGGAGACCTGGAACAAAGCCGTTAACTCTATAATCCAGGCCGCTCGCTCCGAACTCGGCACAACGAAGCCTGGAAGGCGGAGGATATGGACGGATGACGTCAAAGCGAAGGTTCGAGAAAAGAAGAGGCTTTATCACGCATTTCTCGACCACGAGTCGGCTGACAACTGGCGGCAGTATCGGGAAGCGAGGAATGTGGCAAAGACGGCCTTGGCTCTGCGAAGGCCGCTCACGTCGATGATATCAGCAAAAAGCTGGAAACACGCGACGGTGAGCGGTACCTGTATGGACTTGCCAAATCTCGTCATCGTCAAACCGAAGACATTGAGAAGTTTTTTTGGCATAAATGATGAGAATGGCCACCTTCTGATGGACCAAAAAAGGGTATTACAACGATGGCGTGAATATTTCGAGGGTATCCCAACGGTAGAATTCGCCCATCCCGCTCTACCCTGCACAGCAGCAACATACGGTCCCGTTTAGAAGATCATCATACGGGAAACAGAAGCTGCTCTGAGGAAGATGAAGTCCGGCAAAGTCACAGGCCCCGACGACATAGCAGCTGATTTGTGGAAGTCACAGCGCTGGTTTTCTGCGGGTTGGTTGATCAAACTTTTCAACTAGATCGTCGAAGAGAAGAAGGTGCCCAATGACTGGCAGCAGAGCGTGTTGATCCCGGTTTGGAAGAAGAAGGGCAGCACAGCAGATTGCTCAAACTATCGTCCAATTCGCCTTCTTTCACACACCATGAAAGTCTTCGAGCGAATTATTGACGCTCGCGTTCGTGATATCGTCCAGCTTTCCACCAATCAGTGTGGCTTCATGGCGGGTTGTAGCACCGTCGACGCTATACATGTCGCTCGCCTACTTCTGGAGAAACACCGTGAGAAGCGAAAGCCTGTGCATGTAGCCTTCCTAGACCTGGAAAAGGCATTCGATCGGGTGCCGCGTGATGTTATATGGTACGCTTTGAGGCGGCACGGCGTGCCCGAAGAGCTAATCGAGTGGGTGCGCATCCTTTACTCATGCCCAGCGAGCCAAGTTCGCTCACCAGCGAGTGTTTCAATGGAGTTCGGGGTGCATCAAGGCTCTGCGCTCTCCCCACTTCTTTTCGTTCCCGTCATGGATGCCATATCACAAGATCTTCAGAAGGAAGTGCCTTGAACCCTGCTTTACGCTGATGATGTGATGCTTGCTTGAAGATAAGAGCGCACTGGAACAGCAGGTGCATGCTTGGGCCGAGCGCCTGGCGAAGTTTGGACTCAGGTTGAACGTCAACAAAACCGAGTACCTGACAACTGACCCGAATGAGACGGGCTCCATTAAGATCGATGGCACGGTGCTCAAGCGCGCGGAAACATTCAAGTATCCCGCATCAGCACTTGCGTCCGACGGCAGTCTGAACTCGGAAGTGAGCGCACGATTGAGTGCCGCGTGGTCTAAGTGGCGATCTATGTCCGGGATCCTTCGCGACAAGAAAATGCCAGGGCGGTTCAAATCAAAGATCTATCGTACTGTCGTCCGACCTGTCGCGTTATATGGTGCCGAGTGCTGGCCCGCGACAAAAGAAGTTGAGGCTCGCCTTGGCGTGATGGAGATGAAGATGTTGCGCTGGACGGCGGTGATGTCATGCGTAAGAAGTATGGTGTAGCCCCCATAACGGAGAAAATGCGTGAAACGCGCCTTCGATGGCATGGGCACGTTCTTCGCGCAAAGGCTGATACCGTCCGGAAAACTGCTCTCGAACTCGAGGTACCAGGAAAGCGGCCAAAGAGACGTCCCAAACAGCGCTGGCTCGACACGTTGCATACCGACTTGAAAATAGCCGGCATCCACCCTGATCAGGCATCCAATCGGGAAAAGTGGCATAGTTGTACCAAAAGAGCGGACCCCGCGATCAAGCGGGACAAACGCTGAAGAAGAAGAAGAAGAAGAAGAAGAAGAAGAAATATTACTTCCTAGAGGTGCCCAACTCTACCGAAGAATAGTGGAGGGAGCATTCAGAGAATTTTCGTGCAAAGCTGGAATTGACAACGTACGAAATATGTGAGGACAGGTTAAGACAGAGAAAAGGTTACTTCTCCCTACCATGAGCACGATAATTTGGTAGTGGGTCTATCATAGTAGCAAGGGGGCTATATTGTGGGGAAATGGCAAAAAAAGGAGTGAAAAGGTCAAAAACCTGCAAAGAAGAGCTTTTGTTCTGAGTGACTCTAAAAGTAG